CCGTCATCGCCCGCACATCGATCCAACCGTGGCGGCAGCAGCCGGGAAAGCCAGTCGGACCGGGTCAGGGCCCTGGATCCCTGGCCAGAGGGGGCATCGCAGGCGGGGGCATTGCTCGCTCCCGGGCCACGCTCTCCCAGGCTGGCTTCCCTCGGAGGACCTGAGACAGACACAACTCTCCGAGAGGCACCTGCCCGCGGGCACCACCCAGCTGGTCTCCCGAGGCCTCGATGTGCTGCCAACAGGCTCCCTCTGTGTCGAGTGTCGCCCTGGCGCCGCCGCCGGCCAGCTGCCCTGCACCCCCTCTCCGCGCTGCCCCCAGCTGCTCTGGCGGGGGCTGGGAACCAAGGCTCCTCCCGTCAAAGCCTCCTTTCTCCTCCCTCTACCGGCAGCTGGGTGCCAGTCCTGCTGGCGGCCGCGGCTCTCAGAAGGGGAAGACCTCTCTGTCCCCCTCGGCGGCCCAGCAGGTGGGAGGCGGACCTGAGGCCGGCAGTGCACAGCGTGTCTGCGCCGGGAGCCGGGAGCCCCTGGGAGGGGGGCCCAGGTGGTGAGCGGGCCGGCTGGGCTGCTCCTCCCGCCGCCTGCAGGCTGGCTGCCTCGGTGTCCCCCCTACCCCTGCCCCGTAACTCCCCCCCCCCCCCCCGGCTCCGTTTTCGGTTCAGCCGCTGCCTGCAGGCCCCTGGCCGAGGGCAGAGTTTCAGTCATCACGCACTTCCGGTCCCTGGGTGCACGAGGCCACCCCGGAAAGAGCACCCATAATGAACCGCACAAAAGCGGGGAGCGGAGAGCCACCGGGTGTGACGGCACAACACGGGGGGATGGCCTGGCCGCCGCCGCTGTGTGATGCTCGCTCTCCCCGGAGCGCGGTGGCGTGTTCCAGGCGTGTTCCAGGCATGTTGCAGGCGCGCGCATGGCTGTGGCAGGTTCCACGCAGAAGCACCGACAGGCATAACCCGTCACTAACAACCTATTCTTTACTACCAAACGCAGATCTTCTATCAAGCCAGACGTTCACGATATTTATGAAAATGTAAGAGAATGCCAACTTCTTACTGTGTATTTTCTGTTGTTAGAAAATATAGGTGTTTTTCCCCCCATTTAAAATGCTGTTATGGTTATGTGTGCTGGATTTACTATTTAAATATATATATATATATATATATATATATATATATATATATATATATATTTATGGATTTTTTACAGAGAGGAAGGGAGAGGGATAGAGCTAGAAACATTGATGAGAGAGAATCATCAATCAGCTGCCTCCTGCACACTTACTGGGGATCAAGCTCGAAACCAAGGTACATGCCCTTGACTGGAATCGAACCCAGGACCCTTTAGTCTGCAGGCCGATGCTCTATCCACTGAGCCAAACCGGTCAGGGCTGATTTCCCTGATTCTGACTCAGGTACCAACTCCAGGTGGGATCCAATGATTCCTTCCAGCGTGTTCTGTGGCTGCTCCTCTGCTTTGAGCTTCTGGGGTCAGGGCCAGGGTGGGTTGTCAGAGGTAAGGGGAATTGCCTACTCTGTTCCCAGAAGCCACCCTTGTCCCCTCTGTAATAATGAAACGGGGGCAGAGTCAAAAGCGGAGTCAGACTTCCTCAAACGTCTGGGAGCGGGGGTTTGTGTGAGAGACGCATGCCGATGGGAAAGACCTCCCTGGCAGGGATGTTTTTAAATGCTGCCTTTTCCCGAGCAGCGTGAGCCCAGCCAAGCGACGCTGAGTCTGACCTGTGGTCACTGACCCCGATACGGGATGGGGACACCTCACTTCTCCATGGGTTGGTGTCCTCGTCCGTAACGCCTGGGGCTGCTTTCAAGCACAGGGCAAGTGGCACAGGTCAAAGTGCCTCAGGAAATGAGGGCAGGTGCTGTTATGGTTAAGACAATCCGTGGTTCCCACCTTCCGGTTTCCACAGCCAGCGTGCGGGGGACAAGTGTTTACATGGCACGGCACTCGTCAGGTGTCAAATTGTTTCCCTGTCAGGGTGGCGAGGGCCTAACCTCTGGCATCTGTGAAGGTGATCTTATTTGGAAACTAGAGGCCCGGTGCATGAAATTTGTGCACAGGAGGGAGGGTGTCCTTCAGCCCAGCCTGCACCCTCTCCAATTTGGGACTCCCCGGGGGATGTCCGACTGCTGGTTTAGGCCCGATCCTGCAGGACCTAAACTGGCAGTCAGACGTCCCTCTCACAATCCAGAACTGCTGGCTCCTAACGGCTCACCTGCCTGCCTACCTGATTGCCCCAACCACTTCTGCATGCCGGCCTGATTGCCCCCAACTGTCCTCCCCTGCCAGCCTGGTCGACACCGAGGGTGTGCGTGAGGGTGTGGCCATCTAGGCTTTTATTATATAGGATAGGATAGGATAGGGTGTTTACAGATGACCGTGTTAGGAAGAGATCGTGGAGGGAGGGGGGGGCTGGAATCCATGCAACTGGTGTCCTTGTAAGAAGGGGGAACCAGAACTCAGAGGCCTGAAGACCACGTGAAGATGGGGGATGGAGACAGCCGTGTACGAGCCAAGCAGCACCGGTTACAGAAGCTGGGGGAAGGCCCGCCCAGCCTCTTCCTGACAGCCCTCAGAAGGAACCAGCCTGGGTTAGTCTTAAAAAAAAAAAAGAAGAAGAAGGAACGAGCCCTGCCGGCACCTGGATCCTGGACTTCAGCCTCCAGGACTCTAAGACCAAAAATGCCTGTCCTTGGAGCAGCTCCACCCATGGTGCTGTGTGACCACAGCCCCCGGAAGTGAATGCCTTATCCTGACTTTGCTTTCTTGTTGGCCCTAGTTTGTTAAATGTCCAAGTACTTATTGAGCAACTACTACACGCCCGCTCTCAGTAAGGGTTTACAGTCCCGGTCCTGACGGTGCCGTAGACACGAAAGGAAGCGATGTGGGAGACACTGCCTTCCTCAGGGATTCAGAGGAGGGAGGAGCCCAGGTGAGCTGGGAGGCTAGAGGGCTTGCTGAGAGCTCAGCTGAGCCTTGAGGGACAGGGAGGGTCCAGATTGCTGGGGAGAGGACAGCCCCGCGGGCCAGGCGCGGGGGTCCGTGGGAGACGCGGGTCCAGGAACAGGCTGGGTCAGCGTCGGCGCTCTCTCTCCGAGCCTCCTCCCGTCCTCCCTGCCCTTCGCCTGCGTCTCCCAGGCCGTCCCTCTCCCCTGCTTTCCAGGCCCAGCAAGACGGCCACCTGCTCGGCGAGGCTTTCCTGACCAGAGCTCCTCCCAGGAGCTGAGTCTGCAGGCGGTCAGTGACCACGATCATCAGCGCCGTGTGGCCAGCTGTTGCCGTGACTGAGCGTGGAAGGAGGGACGCCGTGCTGTGCTCACCGAAGGACGGCTTCCGCCTGGCTCTTGTACCCAGGGACCCCGGGACTGACTGCTCGGTGGATGTGGGCAGAGGCGATGTGAGTCCCTCCAGGCCCGGCTTCTCCGGACCCTGAGCCCTGGCCTGAGCTCTCCTCTGGCCCCTGGCTGCAGGTTCGGGGGCCCTGAAGGAGGGGAGTGGATCTCTAGCTGGAAGATGCAGGGTTCCTGAGCGCCTGGGGGTGCCTCCCCCACACCCGCCAAGCTGCACTGCAGTGGGGTCAGACGCGTGACCACAGCAGGACCTAAAGGACCCCTGCCAACCCAGGTGTGCAGCCGCCTGGCCGGTGGGCGTGGTCTGGGCATCTGACCCAAGGCCCCTCACTGGAACCGCCCTCTGCCTGGGCATCTGCAGGGAGCCCCCTCCCTGTCCTAGGCCCGGTCTCCGCGGAGAGCGGTACCAGAGCCGGCTCCTCCCGGCAGCAGCGCGGTGGCTTGGTTTCACCCTCTGCCGAAGAGCCAGGGTTCTGGGCTCGGACCTCAGTGCCTGCCAAGCCCCACGCCCCCCTGGGAGCCGCCTCCACCGTTTGGGGGCAGCCTCCTGGCCGGGGAGCCCGCACCCTGCTTTTGTGGAGGAGGACGTGAGTTTTCCCTGGAGAGGCCAGGAAGCCAGTCTGTGTTTCTGGCTGTTTCTGTGGTTACCTCGCCGGGTGGCCGGGTGGGCGGCGGTGGGAGTGTGGAGTGGGGTACGTTTGCTTTTCTCGGGCCCTGATTTTCCATCCGGAGCTGCCCTCCTGCAGGTGCAGGCAGGGTGGGGGGACTCTGGGGATCACGGCCCGCCCCGCCCTGGGACCGAGGCCACCTGTGCCCGGGGCCGAGCTGCGGCCAAGCCCCTTCCTCTGGAGACCCAGGGCCGCCAGGAAGGGAGGGGCTCGGGGAAGCCTGCTCTTCCTCCTCCTCGCCTTCCCCCTCCTCCTCTTCCTCCCCTGTCGTAGGAGGGGAGCCAGGCCAGGGGCCTGCGCACCGGGGGGGAGTGTGCGCCGTCCCGGGAGCCAGGGTAGACCCCGCACCGCACGGCTCCCCCCGGAGGAGGCGCGGGAGGCCGGCGGTGTCTGCCTGGGGCCGGCGGCGGCGGGAGGGGACGGGCGGGGTCAGAGGTGGTGGCCGCCGCCTGGACGAACCGGCCGGCCTCTTCCCCTTCGGGCCACCCAGGCCGCACTTCCTGCGGGGACTGGGGGGCGGGCACCGGCGGCGGCTCCTCCTGGCGCCGCCTCCCGGCCTCTCCCGCACCCGCGGCCGAGGCCAGGGGCTGGGAGCTGGGGCCGGTGCTCGGCCCCCGCGGCCCGCAGTCCACGGGGAGGGGGCTGGCCCAGGGCGCCGCTCCGGAGGGCGCCCCGCAGGGGCCGGGGCCGCGCGGACCGGGGCGGGGTCCCGCGCCCAGCGGCCAGGGGGCGGGGCCGCGGCCGCTGCGCCAGGCGGTGGGCGGGGCGAATATGGGGGCGTGGCCGAGGCGGGCGAGTCCTCAGCACCAGGCGGTGGGCGGGGCGAATATGGGGGCGGGGCCGTGGCCGCAGTGCCACCCTGTGGGCGGGGCAAACGCGGGGGCGTGGCTGCAGGAAGCAAGCCCCGGGCCCGCCCCCACGTTAGCCCCGCCCCGGCCTCGGCCCCGCCCCGGGCCCCGCCCTCGCGTCCCTTCCTCCCGGGTGGCAGGCGGCGGGCGGCGGCGTCGCGGGCGGCGGACGGACGGGCGGGTGCTGGCTCGCTCCCTCCCTCGCCGCCGGCTTCCTTTTGTTTCTCGGACGGACGGCGATGAGCTCGGGGCCGGCGCGGCGGCTGCGGGCGCGAGGAGGCCGGCGCTCCTAGCCACCCTCCCGCCCCAGCGCTTCGTCCGGCGGCGGCGGCGCCTTCCCCCGCGCGGCGGCGCCAACTCGGGCTCGGAAGCCGGGGACGTCCTGCCCCGAGCAGGTAGGGAAGCGCCGATGGGGCGGGGTGCGGGGGGTGCGCCTCACACACGGGCTCTGCGTGTGCGTGTGCGCGCGTGTGCGCGTGTAAGCATGTGTGTGTGAGCGTGTGCGCGTGTAAGCATGTGGGTGTGCGCGTGTAAGCATGTGTGTGTGAGCGTGTGCGCGTGTAAGTGTGTGTGTGTGAGCGTGTGCGTGTGTGTGTGTGCGCGAGTGTGTGTGTGAGCGAGCGTGTGCGCGTGTAAGCGTGTGCGCGTGTGAGCGTGTGTGTGCGTGTGTGAGCGTGTGCGTGTGTGTCGGCGGCTCCTGTGTCTCCGGCGCCGGAGCGGTGGTGGCCGAGGCCGGCGGTGCGCCCGGAATGGCGATTCCTCGTGGGTCCGAGTGCGCAGGTTTGGGGGGCGCTGGCGGGGGCCGGCGGGCCCGGGCGGGGTGCGGGGAGCGTGTGCGCGGGGCCGGGGCGGCGGGGGCGGGGCGGTCCGGCCGGTGCACCCCCCCCCCCCCGCGCGGTGCGGAGCCCGGAGCCGCGGGGACGGACTGCGGGCCCGGGGGCGGCCCGCGTGGGTCGCCTGGAGCCCTGGCCCGGGAGGGGGCGCGCCGGCCCCCGCTCCCTCCTTCCCGGGCGGAGGGGGCGGCAGGCAGAGCCGGAGCCGGAGCCCGCAGTGCCCCCCGCGCCGCCCGCGCCCGCCGCCCCGGGGCGAGCCTGCGGGGCACCGAGGGCGCTGAGATAGCTGCCGCCCGGCCTGCGCGGAGTGGGTGCCTCGTGAACGGGATCGGTTCCTTTTAAATCTTTTCCCCGTTATCGCGGGTGGGGCGCCTGGAGCCGCGGGGACGCTGGCCCTTTTCCAGCCACGAAGGCCGGCCGAGCGGGGGCGCTTCCCGGCGAGGCAGCGGCTGCGAGGAGCCCTTTTATTCAACAAGTGCCCGGTCCTCCCGGAATCTGACAGCCGGCATGGCAGGGGCCTCCCCGCAGGGGCAGGTCCGCATCCATAGCGCCCAGGCACCGGGCATCGGGCTGGGCATGTTCCCCCAGAGGAGAGTGTTTGCCAGGGCGGACACCCTCCTGCCCCCACCCCACCCCACCCTAACTCCCCCCTCCCACCCTACTCCCCCCTCCCACCCTACTTCCTCCCATCCTACTCCCCCATCCCACCCTACTCCCCCCCCCCCTACCCTACTCCCTCCTCCATCCCTACTCCTCCCAAACTACTCCCCCCTCCACCCTACTCCCCCCTCCCACCCTAACTCCCTCCTCCCACCCTACTCCCCCCCCCCACCCTACTCCCTCCACTACCACCCTATCCCCCTACTCCCCTCCCACACTACTCCCCCTCCCACCCTACTCCCCCCCCCACCCTACCCTACTCCCTCCCACCCTACCTCCTCCCCCTCCACCCTACTCCCCTCCCACCCTACTCCCTCCCACCCTACTCCCCCCTCCCACCCTACTCCCTCCCACCCTACTCCCTTCCATCGGGCGAGCAGGAGGCTGAGGCCCCTGTGGGACCCTGCATCCTGGCCCCACGCCTGCTCCGGGCACCACGGAGCTGCAGAGTGTGCCCACCGCGCTGCCCTGCACGCACCCCCCGAGTCCTGCCCACTGCCCCACAGCGCTGCCCGGCCCAGCAGGCCCATCTGGCGCTGCCTTCTGCCAGGGCAGCGGGCACTGCCTTCCCTCCTGCGGCTCCTTCCTCTCAGGACCCTGCCCAGGCCGGCACCGAAATAGCCTCTCACCGGGGCGCGCAGCCTCACGGTGCACGGCTGCACACGGGGCCGGCGTGGGCCGGGCAGCTGCGAGCGGTGGCGGGCCTCCCGTGTTGGGGCTGGGGGCTGGACCTCTGCAGGCTTTCACCACCTCCTCTGGTGTGGCTCCCACGGGGGACGGGAGCTCGGATCTCAGCGATGGTGCGTGGGGGGCACAGAGTGGGCGAACTCCTCCTGCCGCTGAGGCTGGGCACACGCCGGCTGCCGCCTGTTTGGTGACGTGGTTTATATCCCAGCAGAGAAGGGGCGTTCGCATGAACCCTCCTCTCCTCCCCATAACCAGGCTCAGTAAGAACACACGTGCGCACTCTGCCCGGCTCTGCGGGAGACAGGCCAGGAGCCGGGCTATTCCCCGTTAGAGCCGGCCCCGTGCCTCCGGCAGACCAGTACTTTGGCCCGAGATCTGTTTCTGTTTCGCTTTGGAAAGCGCCTGTAATGACAGCTCTTGAGGTTTTATTGGATAACGTGCCCGAGAGAGAAGGCGCCGGGCTCGCTCTCGCTGCCCTGGAGCCGGGCGCTGGGGCACTGTGTGTGGGGGGTTGGGAGGCCAAGGGGATGGGGAACAGACGTCCAGGTACCAGGGTCATGGGAGACATGGCATCAGGAACTAGGAGCCTGGGCTCTCCTGTGACCTTAGAAGCAAGAATTAGTCCAAACCCCAGAAGAACAGCGTCTGCCCCAACCAGCCAGCCCGTCCATCCTTCCCAGCAGTCCCTCCTGGAGGGAGCCGAGAGCAAAGAAAGCTGGCGCCTTCGGAGTTCACCACACGGCCCTGCTGGCCCTCGGGCTGTGCAGAGTGAGCACTCCCAGAGGGACGGGGTGGACTCCCCCCTCCCTGCCCCCCCCCCCCCGGGGCACACACCTTGGCATATCTGCCTGGAGCTGCTGCTGGTGGAGCCCGTCCGGTGAAGGGCCACGCCCACTGCCTTCAGGGCCCCGTGTGCACCGCTCCAGGGGTGCCCCTCGCCTAAAAGGCGGTGTGGAGTGTCCGTGTCCTCCTCACCCCTGTGGCCTTCCCCCAAACGCACCCCAAGGCCCCGGGCTGCCGCTCCTGGGCGGTAAGGTGTGGAGGGCCCGGCGCCAGCGGACAGACCAGGGCCAACCCGGGGCTCCCCTCACCCCCAGAGCGCCAGCCGCCCGGGGCAGAAATGCTGTCTGGCCTGGGATCAGGCTGGCATGTGAGCTTGGCATTCCAGACAGCCCTCCGTCATGCTTGTTTGTGTGGGATACTGCCCCGCTGTGCGGGTTGCCTGCCCGGCCTCGATGGGGGGTTAGGTGCGGTCCGCTGGGGGGTGGCACCTGATGCCGCGGAGCCGGGAGGAGGCTGTCCTGGCCCCGCCCGCTCCCTCGCTCCCTCGCCCCCTCGCTCGCTCGCTGGGCGTCCTGCGTGTGTCGCGCCCGCGCACAGGCACAGCCCGGCCTCCCGTGTGGCCGCGGGTTGGGTTTCCGATCGGGATGACAGGGGGTAATTGTACACGGAGACGCAGGGCGGCCTTGGCCGGCGCTCGGTGCCACCTGCCCGCGGGGAGATGGTTCCCGTTGAACCCCAGCCAGTGGGAGTCGGTGGCAGGAGGCCGGAGGCTGAGGCTGGGTCCCCGTCTAAGGAATTCTGCTCCAGTTGCCCCAAAAGCACAGTGAATCCTTCCCGCAGGCCACCCTGCCATGTTCTTCCAGGCCTAAGGACGGTCCTGAGGCCTGCTGCCCACGGCCGCCCCCAGAGCGGGGCTCCCCCTGCAGCCCTTCTGCCCCCCGCGGGCCACGGAGGTGTCATGGGGGGGCTCTGTCCACCCCCCCCACTGGCTCGCCCAGGGCTGCGCCTTCCCTGTGTCGTTTCTTTTGCACCCAGAGGTGCAGCCGGGTGGCAGGAGCTGGGGGGGCCCTGCCCGCACAGCCCCCCTGCCTCCTGGCCGGAAGTGAGGGGGAGGGGGCGTCTCTGGCCCCCGGCTCAGAAACACTCCGCGGAAAGAGCTGCGTGTTCCCGCAGCAGGAAGAAGGCTCTGGGGCTCTGGCCCCCCTCTGAAGTCTCCCCTGATTGCTCTGCACCCTGCCGCCCGCCAGACCCTCTCCTTGCTCCGTGCGCCCCTGAGCGGGGCTGTGCTGAGTCAGGAGAGCAAGCTGAGCTGTCCCAACGCTCAGACCCAACGCAGCCCCGTCCTCCGGGCACACGACAGCCACGCCGGCCGTCACCCAGACCATCTCCTGCCTGAGGGGCCGGCTCTCGGCTCTCCCAGCTGGAGGTCTCCGTGTCTGTGCTCTTCCCCCCGTCTAACAGGTCAGCCCTGCGTGGCGCGGCCCCCTCCCCTCCCCACGCCTCCCCCCGGAGCAGAGCCTGCGCACCCTGCGCTGCTGTTGGTCAGTGTTTGTCATCTCGCTCTCTGCCCGCCACCCCCAGTTCACGCTGCTCCTCTGAGCCCGGCTCTGTGCCTGCTCCTCCCGGGCCTGGAAGGCTGGGCACGGGCCTCCTCCCTCTGAGCTGGGGTGGGAGGGCATCCCACAGCCGGGAGCATGGCAGGTGCTGGGGTGTGGGAGTGGGAGGCCCCTCCCCGGGGCTCCGGGAGGAGCACGGGCCAAGCTGACCCCCAGGGGGAGACAGGCGAGTGGAGGGAGCGGGGAGGGCTTGGCGGCATGCCTCCCCACTCCCAGTCACCTGTCAGCCTCCTGCTCATCCCCAAGCACGCGTGTTTCATGGGCAGCAGCGCCAGGCGTGCGGTCTGAGTGGGTGTGCCAGGCTCCTGGGAGGGTGCCAGTGTGTGTGGGGGTGTGATTTGGGGTTTGGGGAGCTGCTGTTTGGGTTGTCCCGGCTCATGTCTTCTGAGCAGCCTCTCGGGGTCCTTGAAGAAGCCACGGTGATCGTGAACGTGGGGGCGGCGTGCACAGAGAGGTCAGACTTAGGGAGGCCGGACCGCCCCCCCCCCCCCCCCGGAGTGCCTGGGAAGTGTCTGTGGGGTTTGGGTGCCCGTGTGCCGGGGCGCCTGGGCGGCGGGGGCTCCTGGGGGCGCCGGCAGAATTCCGGTTTGTGCAGCGGCCATAGATCGCCGTGTGTGTGTGTCCCCCCCCCCCCCCTTCCTGGGGCAGCTAAGTGCTCAGGGTTCGGCTTCCTTCCTGAGCTTTTACCAGACGTTTCCAGAAAATGGAATCGAGCACAGCTCCCGCCCTTCCCGGCCACGCCCGTCCTCGCTCCGCTCCGGAGGGAAGTGCGAGCCTCCGGGCCCTCACGGGGCTTAACCGCCTCCCTTTCCATCG